GTGATGTTGCGGTTGCGGCGGGGAGCTGATGGGAAACGGTCAGCGTGGGTCTCGGTCGCTTGCAGAGTAGAGAGCGTACCTGGCTCCGGCACCGCCACAGTATGGAAATCGCATTCAGGAAGATTGTGGAAAGGAGCCGCGTCGACAGGGACGTCACAGCGAGTGTCGTTGGATGGGACATCGTGGTCGCCGTGGTCGCACGGGCCGTGGTAGTGGCCACCGTTGTCGATCGGGGCGCCGTAGCTGGCGTTTCCAACGACGCCGTGGCCACTGTTGGCGTAGCCTTCGTTGTGGACAGCAATGCCGTGGTCGCTGCTGTTGAACGGGGCGCCGAAGCCATTGTTGTCGTTGTAGCCGCTGTTGTTGATCGGGACGCCGTGGCCGTTGCCGTTGAACGGAACATTGCAGCCGCCGTTGTTGACGGGGACGTAGCCGTTGTTGCCGACAGAGCCGTTGTAGCCGCTGTTGCCGTACACAGGGCCGTAGCCGCCATAGCCGGACGGTCCGTTGTAGCCGCTGTTGTCGTTCAGGATGCCGTGGCCGCTGTTCTCGACAAGCGCGCCGTGACCGTTGTCGTCGAACGGAACGTTCCAGTCGCCGCCGTTGACAGCGACGCCGTGGCCGCTGTTGTCGAACCGGGTGCCGAAGCCATTGTTGTCAACACGGAAGTCATGGCCGTTGTTGCTGACAGGGACGTTGAAGCCACCGTTGGTGAACACAGGGCCGTAGCCGCTGTTGTTGTACGGTCCGTTGTAGCCGCCGTTCTGGAACGAGGCGTCGAAGCCACCGTTGTTCACCGGCACACCGTGAACGCCGAAGTGCTCCGGCATCATGGGACCGTTGGCTGGGAGGTTGTTGGGGTAGTTTACGTGGGAGGGGACGGTCGAGGGCAGCTCGGGCGCAACGGTGGTCGGGATGGCCGGCGGGGGCGCCGCGGACTCGGGCTGATACTCGGCGGGCTGATACGGCGTCGCCCCGTTCGTAGCCTACTTGAAGACATCAGTGGCTGGGAAGTTAAAGGATTTTGTGGTTGGACGCACCGGACGGCCCATGAACGTGCTAAAGTCGCCGCCGGCGGGG